GCACATACTTAGAGCAAGAACTGGAAAAGGGAATAATGTGAAAAGATGAATAGTGCTTAGATTTGGCAGAAGAAATACATCTGTGCCATAATGTGCTTGTGTTTTACAGCTTGAGAAAGATGATGATGATGTGAGAGCTCCTTCCTCGATTATCTTTTTGCTGCATGGCTGTTTCACCAGGCATGTGCTACATCCTGACCAAAAGGAAGCAGTGCTGCAGGTCACAAGCTCAAACCCACAAAATACTGACTACATCTTAAAAATTCTGATGTTTCTTTTTAAACCTTTATTAGGTTTTTATGTGCTTTTTGTCCCTTTAAATTTCAAGGTCTGCTCAAAGCATATTTTCAAGCTCACTTCCACCCCCACAGCTACAAGGGCTAGGAATCTGAGGTCCCAATGAGCTGAAATTTTCAGGCTGTCACTTAATGGCACCAGCAAAGAACTAACATTGTCTTATGACAGTTTATGGAGCTAAGATTGTTCTAAGCTGCCTAGTATTTAATGTAGTAGTAACCACTTTATAGTTAAATACTTATTACCTCAACTTCAGTAGTAGTCAGAGGTACTTTACAAAATAAGTCGGGCAGATGGAAAAGCTTCCTGCATTGTGCTATTAACACTAGTAATTTTTAAGGAAGAAAGGGAGGCTTATGAGCGTTACGAAAGGAAGGTGATGGTAGTGTGGTCATTTGACTGCCTCGTCCAACAGCTGTAGATTCCTGCAGGGTACATTCTGTGGCATCACTGCATTGACTGCAAGTGTAAGTTGGAAGATAAACAGAGGGTGTGATATAGTGGCTCATAGCAGATACCACACTGTACTAGAATAAAAACTAATTTTAACTAATGATTCGCCTCTGACAAGGATGGGGTTTCCCTTCTTCCATCAAGGGAAGAAAATATTAACCTCAGGTCTTATAGAGTTAATAGATCACATACCCAAATGAGTTTTTCTGGTGGGTTGATGGGAGCTTGGGGGAATCTATCTGTCAGTGGGAGATGCAGGCTGATCTCTGAGGTTGTCTTAATACCGTAACAGAGTCAGTCTTGTCTAATTCTGTAATTGTAACTCTAACTCTGTCCTCTGGGGGCGGTGAGAAGTTGACCCATAGAAATTAACTTAGATTACTATTAAAAAAATGCCGATGCATGCTTTGCAGCACTTCCACATCCCATTGGTTGCTTTTAGAAAATTGACCAGCTGACACCATGACCACCAGGCATGGTCATACTGGGTTCCTTGTTCCTTTCATTGTGTAGATCACTGCAGGGTTTTAAGAAAGAGGAGGAAATTGAATAGTTGAGTTCCAGCTTTGTCTTCCTTATTTTGCTTAACTCTGATTGACAGTGACCTAAGGGAGGGAACCATGGCCTCTGTCACTTCAGTTGATGGGCTTAAATCAATCTGCTGGCTCTTGTGTTGAAGTGAATAAAGTGAAATGGAACTGCTGTTTTCCATCTGAACTGTGTCTTCTTAATTCCCTCTTTACTTGCATCTCTGATTATGGGAATTTTCTAGTGCAATATTTGCATTGTAGGAGTTTGTTTCCCTTTGATTAACTTTCTGCAACACTCAGCTGTTTTAAAATAGGGAGTAAGAGCTTGAAGATGCTGTCATCATTAAAAATAACTCCCAGAACAATTTCTTCTGTAAACAAAGCAATGGTTCTGTTTACTAAACCAGATTAAGAAAAACAGTCTTCTTAGTGAAGACTTTCTTGGCTACAGAACTTTCTCTCAAACATAGAATGAAGCCAGACACTGGGGGATGGGATGGTGACAAGATATAATTAAAGACCATTTGATGTGTCTAAGGGATATGTTAGGTACACTCTAATTGTTTGGTTGTTTGGAGCTGGGGTGGATGCATTATCACATCTGTGCCAGGCTGACTATCTTGCATAAAACACGGGAAGTTGTTACAGATCCCTTATGATCCTGTTTGAAGAATGATGCTGACTTCTGTTCTCGTGTTTTAATGATTTTTTTAATCCAGGCTGTATGAATATCTTTGTAAATACTTGGCAAGTGGAACAATTTTCTTCCCTCTGTGTAAAATAGTGTTACAAATAATATTTTTGGGTTTTAGTAGATCTTTTATGGGCTGCTTTTCCTTGTCTTTTTTCTGTTTTGTAGCTTGGTCTGACTCTTCAGCAAGGTTCTTTCTTACACTGAAGTTAGAAAATCAGCAGTTTAATCAGTTGCTAGTTTAGCAATTTTATTTAAGCAGCTGGTTTGTTATGTTCTATTTAGCTGAAGTTTGCATTGATTGAATTAGGGAGTAAGGCTAAACACTTTAGTGGGATGTTTTGGCAAACCTTTTCAAAGCAGAAGGAGTTAAAAATACTAACAGTGAAAGGAAAAAAGCTACTAGAGAGTGCAGTCTTTCTCAAGTGAATAATAGCATCACATAGGTTGGAAAAGATCAGGGAGTGCAACCATTAGCCCTGTACTGCCAGATCCACCACTCAAACATGCCTTCAAGTGTCACGCCTAGACATCTTTTAAATACCTTCAGAAATGGGGACTCAACTACTTCCCTGGGCAGACTGTTCAGTGCTTGACAAGCCCTTCAGAATTTTTTTTTTTCCTCATACCTAATTTAAATGTCCTCTGCTGCAACTTGGGGATGTTTCTGCTTGTCCTGTCACTTGCTGCCTGGGCAAAGAGACTAACCCCACCTTGCTACAAATCCATTTCAGGTGATGTAGAGTGACAGGGTCCCCATTGAGCTGCTGCTTCTCCAGACACTTCACCAGCTTTGTCCTTCTCTGGACTTGCTTCAGCACCTCAGTCTCTGTCTTGCAGTCAGGGGCCCAAAACTGAACAGAGGGTTCAGGGTGGGGCCTTACCAGTCCTGAAAACAGAGGAGGAAGTGATCTCTTTCTTCATCTCACTGGCCACACTTGCTCATCCAGACCAGGATGTCATTGGCCTTCTTGGCCATGTGGGCACACACTGGCTCATGTTCAGCCAATGCTGACCAGCACTCCCAGGTTCTTTTCTGCCAGACAGCCTTCCAGCCACTCTTCCCCCAGCCTGTAATGCTGCTTGAGGTTGTTGTGACCCAGACAGAGGAGTTCAGCTTGGCCATGTTGAACCTCCTCCAGCTGGCCTTGGCACATTGATCCAGCCTGTCCAGATCGTTCTGCAGAGCCTTCCTGCACTCCAGCAGATGAACACTCCCACTCAAGCTGTGTCACTGCAAAGTGACAATCAGTCAATCCCCTTGTCCAGACCATATATTTTCTTTAAAAATATTAAACAGGACTGACTGGCCGCCAGTTGGATGTAACTCTGTTCCTCCCCTGTGTTTGGGCTTAACCAGCCAGCTTTTTCCGCAGTGCAAGGCATACCAATTCAAACCACGAGCAGCTAGTTTGTCCAGGAGAATGCTTTAGGAAATGCTGTCTAAGGCTTTACGAAGGATTTGGTACCCAGCATACACAGCCTTTCCCTCATCCTCTGTGCAGGGTACTCTGTCGTACAAGGAGATCAAGTTGGTCAAGCCAGACCTGCCTTTCATAAACCCAGGCAGCTGGGCCTGGTCCCTCACTTGTCCTCTATGTGTCTTGTCATGGCACTCGAGATTATGAGCCAGGTGCTGTTAATGACACATGACTGAACCCAGTAGGTGAGTTTTCCTCTATTTTTTTTTGAGTTTTAAGGAAAAACTCTTACTGAATTACTGCAAAAACTTAGAGATGGCTCTAGAAGTTTAGAGTGACTGTCAAGACAAATTTGCAGTGATCCTTCAAGTAGAGTCAAGGGAATTGGAGCTGAAAAGTGGCAGTGCTACTTCCCAAAGGGAGTTGAAAGGTTGGAATTGCAACAGCTGCAGCCTGTGAAGTTTTTCCTCCTGAACAGAGCAGGATGGCCTGTAGGATATACTTAAGGTTGATAAATTCTACCTGGTTCACTGCATGGCCTTGTTACTGGTACGTACTGTTATAAAACCACATCTCTTAACTGTACAACTAAATTCTGGTGCAAGATACGAGTGGAGAAGAATAAGGAAGTAGTGGCTTGTTGCACTCAAAAGTAATGATGACGCTGTTAGGGGAGAAGCGGAATAGCAGGAGGCTGTACCTGTCAAGTAAATTTCCATGGTAACTTGTGGCTGGAGTGGCTATTCTGGACTTTCACAAGATTAAGCAACAACAGTTCATTCATAGCCACTGAAAAGGCTGCTCACTGTTTAAGATGTGAGCAATATAGGACTTGATTTTCCTTGAGTCTGTCTTGCCAGATCTGTGTTTCTGATATTTCTCTTTTTCTTTTGCTAGACTGTGCGACGAGGCAAAAACTCTATATGAAAAATGGACCCTTTCTCTGATATTTCTCCATAAGTTCAACAGATGGGATCCTAACTTTTCTTCCTCACTTTGTACTGTGTGAAAATAACATTTTTCTGTTGCTTGAGCAGTGAAGTTTGGGTCAGTAGCTGAAGACTGTGCAGGCATAAGCAGATAGTTTCAGTGCAGCTTTAAATGTCAAAACTGGATTTTAAGAGCATTCAGTGATCCTAAAAAAGGCAGTAGAAATCTGTGGCAGCTCATACCCTGTTCTGTTTCATCAGCATCAGCCTATCTGCCTCCTGCACTGTGCCAGTGCTTGTTTAACTGTGTAATTATGGAAACTGATAGTGTGTGGCACAAGAAACAGGAGAAGCACTGGCATCTGTAAAGGCCAGCTGGTTTCTTTGGGCTGCCAGTGGACAGAAGAGTTCTACTCTCAAGGCCTCAGAGAGAACCTGGAGTGAACCCATGCTTCTATGCAGAGAACACACACTGGGTAGATGCAAAACAGCATGCAGCTCCTGGCACTGGGTCTTTACGTGAGAAACCAAAGCGGCGGGATCACCTGTCAGACTTCTGGTGGTACAGAATGTCTGTAATGACAATGACTTCTCTTTTTTAGGTTTCCAGATGCTCTAGATAAAGTTCATGCATTAGTTCATCATGTGTTTCAGTTTCTTGGTTTTTTTTGCGTTTCAGGTTTATCAGTCATGAAACGAATTCTTCTGGTTTTTATCCTGGCTGCTGCTGTTATGTATGGTATCCTGCATGGAAATCTGTGGAGAAATAACTTCTACTGGTATGGTGATGCTTTGTTCATTTAGAGTGCAGACACCTCATGGCTGTATGAGAGAGATGTGTCTGTGAGTTCTTGTGTTGTTCCATGAGTGTTACTAGTAATCCTAAGTGATTACCCTGTGTGTGTGTGCGTTTTGTGGTTGAGATCTTTTGGTATTCTGAGGAAATTGGTATGATTGTTTTGTCCTGTCACCTGTTCTCCTGTGTCACTTTCAAACCTAGTAATTAATTTGAGCCTGGTTGTATGGAGAGGTCAGGACCTCAGTGGTAGGGAGCCCCTCAGAGGTTCATGAAAATAGGTCTTCAGGTGAGGAGTTACATGAAGTACAGAGATAAGGTGTCCATATCTCCCTCCACCCCATGTGGGTTTAGTGTTAATTTGTTCCATTAAATGTCTGATAAGTGATGTGGGAGAGGCCTTTTCCACACATGGGAATAACTGCAGGTGCAGGGGCACCTCTTGGAAAGCTGAGGTTTGTTGAGGCCCACAGCAGCCCTTGAGGGCAGTGAGGCTTCACTATCTCCAGGCTCACAGGACAGGTGACTTGGTACCTAAAATTTGGGAGACTTACTTGAAGAAGTTGAGTTTCCATTGGTCTTTGCACAGCTGTGACCAGGACTGACCAGACTGTTACGAAGATAAGTGATAATTTTTAAAAGTAGTTAATGTGCTCCCTTTATCTTGTTTATGGTGTACAATTGATACGAATAGCTTTCCATTGTGGTTTCTATTTACAGCAAACCACAGTGTTGTGACATTTCCCTTTTTGCAGGATTAGCTTTTATGGACAGACTTCCTCTGTGAGGGCTTCTCCTTCCTATGAGACTAGTGGAGTTACAATCAGTTACAATCAGTAAGTTCAGCAGTTGAGTATTTTTGTGGTGGGGTTGTTGTTTTCTTTTGGTTTTGGATAGGTGGGAGGGATTGAGGCTAAAATCTGTAGCCTTTTTCGATAGGCTCCCTGCTCTATTGTACAGTTGCATCCATGGCTGTTCCTGTTATAAACACAGTGGTAAGGTGTTTGTCAAAAAGGAATTTGTCCATGTTACGTTTCCAGTGTTTGTTTAATATTTATGGCCACTTTGAATAACTGTCTGTAACAAGCAGTGAATTGTTGGAAGGACATTGGCTTACAATTTTCAAATCTGTGCAATTCTGAATTACACCTGAACAAAGTTAGCACAGCTTGGAGGGCAACTTCCTTGCTTAAAACTTACTAACCAGAAGTGTGTTTCAGTTGTTCTATTCAAGTGTATATATATAGGCAGCTCTTGTGCTTGTGACTTCCTGCAGTTAGATTTGTGGGACTAATGAGCACCTATGCTAAAACTTGAAAGCAAACCTCTCTTCTCTCTGAAGCTGTGCTGCAAAATGCCATCTGTGAGGCTGATGCTGGAAAGCAACAAGGTGGCCAGCTGATAGGTTTCACAGGGTGCTTTCTCAGCGTCAGTATTCACATAAGAACTTGAGGTTACCAAAATCAGTTAACTTTAATGGTTTCTTTGGCTCGTGGTTCTGATCTAGTGGTTTCATCCTTCTGCCCTTAATGCAATCCAGCGGCACGTGTTGCTCACACTGAACTTTACCTTCCCTTCTGGGCTTCATATTTGTGATTAAATGGGCTAAATCTCCAAGTCAGGAATGTGCTTAGAAGTGTGAGTCTTAACCTTATTATGGGTGGAATGTCTTACCCAACAGAATATAGTTTTCCTTAAAGTGCCCTATTTCCTTCTTCAAACAAGACTTTGTCTCCTCCCTGAGGAGTCATGGGGATGCTATCAGGAATGGCTGCAGGGGTGATTGAGCAGAGGAGCCCTGCTTCTCTGCAGGTGGGCCTCAGTTCTGACTTCTCATTATACCTGCTTTGACACTTGCTGAGCAAGGGAGGTCACAGCTCCCCTTGGAGCAGCAGTGTGAGATAAAAGCCTTTGCTAGTAAAAGTAATTGTGCTGCAATGAGAAAGTTTCATCTCTATCACACAGGGGGAGGGAGTAATGAAATCTTTGTGTGATCTTAACTCAGTAGTCAGCTTTTACTAATTTGATTTGTCCAGCTTCCTTTACCTTGTTTCTGCTACCCATTCCTGGACTTGCTATTTATTTGGAATTGGTTTTTTGCAGGCTGCCGCTTACAGCTGTAGAGAGGAGGAATGCCTTGGACACTTGTCTTCTGAAACCAGCATTTGAATCTTTACTGGGGTGAGTCTTCCATGAGAATTTAGATGGGGAAGGAATGGCTGTGCTGATTGAGGTAGAACTGGGCTATTTACACATTTTGGAGCGAACATTGAGTAGTGCCCTGAGAAAGCTTGGAAAGATTAGACCAAGAACTGGTTGAAGGAGTCTTAAACCTCTGCACAAAGACACTGTGGCTTTTTTTTCCCCCTGGTGCTTTTTGTATATAAGAAAATGTGGCTATAATTTTAGTGCTTTTGTGGGTTTAAAGCACATAGAAGCCTGTAAACTTTGTGCCACCCAAAGTAGAATTGGAGCCTTTGAGTTTTAGTTAGCTCCTGGTCTGGTGAGGTGATCCTAATTCCCATGGATTGTGCCCAGACTGTCTGCTTGTTGGGTGCAGCAGGGTAGCTCTAGTGTTCAGCAGAGGAGCAGAAATGGGCTCAGAGGTACACAGCGGGAAGAAGGTACGTGCACAGCTAGGACAGTCTCACACATTTCTGTCACTTTTTTATAGAGACAGTTTGCATGAGCTGAAGATCTGTTCTGTGCACTTTGGTAATAGCCTGGGGAGGTTAAAAGGATTTCTAACCTTGCAGAATTATTTATTGGAAAGGAACCAGAGCTAGAAAAGCTAGAATTGAGGATCTTTTCTCAGTAGGTAAATTATTTATTATGTCTGAGCTTAGCAGCTGTTTCTGAGCAGCAAAGCAGGTTACTAAATTTAATATGGATATTTAGTGCATGATGTCTCAAAGCTAGCTGGTCTTCCTTAGTTAAGCTATGGCCCATTTCTTGGTGTGTGAGCTGTAGTGTTTTGGTTTTGGGGTTCTTTTCCCTTTTTACTGTTAGTATCTTCTGAATACATAGAGCTTAAATTAGCTTTGATTTGGGAAACTGAAAGAAGGTTTTCTTAACAGCTATTTATGTTCTTAGTGGGCAAACAAGTCATGTGCTGACTGGGGTGTTTTATGATTAACATTAGGTTTTCTGATGACTGTATACTTCTGTGTTAACATTTTAATCTAAGACCTAATATGCAGGATCATTACAAAGTCAGCCAGTACACTGAGCGCGTGCTTAGTTAATTCAAAGGTGAAGCCAAGGGCATGATAGCATGTGACACGTTTGTGTCTGCTGTTCACTCATTGGGGTGGACTTGGCACTAAGGCAATAGGAGTGCCTTCCGTGCTATGAGAGACTCTTTTCCGTTGTTCTTGTCTTTCAACAAAAGAAGTCACCCATTCTTTTTAGCGTGACACTTACAAGGTATAATGTCATTGTGCTCTAGTTTTCAGGAAGAATGTGCTTTTGAGGCAAACCTCATTGAGATCCCCACACACCGTGCTTCTCATCCCAGGGTGACCCTGGTGTGAATGCACTGGGATCCTTTCAGACATCTGCTTAAGCCAGAAGATGCACTGCAGGAACATAGCCCATGTGATGCAGCTGCTAAGGGCTGGGACCCTTCTAGAGTTAGTACAGAATATAAAATGTGGACATGAGAACTCTGTACTTTTTTGTTGCTTAGATACACCCCTGTTGCCCCAAACAACTTACAAATGTCAACACAGTCATATAGTGTCACTTGTTTGGAATAGGAGTGCAGCTCAAATCAGGAGATGGTATTTTCAATTTAAAACACCTTGCTTCAAACTCCGTTCTTATTTATTCAATTGCCTTGTACAATAATAACTCTTAGTTTTCCTTTCTACCTCTATTATTTTCAAACCTGAAGTTATTCACTGTCTTCTTGGGTTATGTGTTCTCTTAAATATGTGGTCTCGTGGTGCAAGCTTTCAGCCACGCAATTTTAATGAGTCTACATAAATTGTACAAATAGACAAGTCTTTTTATCTCACTCTTTGCCTGTATTTTCTGCTACAAATTCTTACCCTTTTCCGTCATCTGTTTGCTTTCCCTGTGCTCGTGGATTTTTTTGTCTTTTAAAAATGGGTGGTAATATGATAAAAATGGTAATAGTAGTATAAAGAGAGCTTTTTACAAAGCACTTGCATGACTTACTGGCTTAGGCAGGTACATCATGCGATGTTTTAAAACTTCTTCCTTTTTTTCTTCATCAGTGTTGACAAAATATACCCATTCCTGTGCGCTAATGATTTTATCAGAGTGGCAGAGTTCCAAGGGAGCAATAAGTTTGAACTACCTTATGGAATAAAGAGAGCAGGTTTGTATTTCCCATGTACCTTATTTTTAATCAGAAATATCTAAATGGTGTAAAGCCACCTGAATCTGTGGCCATGATCTTTCCTGTGCACTGATGCCAATCTTTTTGGGGTGTCTAGCAGCGCCTTAATGGTTTTGTTCAGTCCCTCTGACCTGACGCCTTCCTGTTTTTAACAAGTAAAACACTGGGTTGGGGTTGCCCCTCTTAGCAGAGAAGCTCCAAAAAGGTGTGAGTGAGGAAGAGTGGACCTTATTCAGCTTCCTTCTGTTTGTATGTGGTCTGGAGTGCTGAAGATACTCAGCTATGCTTTGCTGGGGGAAATACTGAGTCAGTGTGATGGGCTTCAGTCAGCACACCTAAACTGGTTGGAACCCAGAGTCCTACTGAGGCAGAAGTCCTCAGGTTTAGGCGGTTACATCAGTGAAATTTTCATTTTACTGTCCTGGTTTTAATTGGAATAGAATTTATTTTCTTCTTAGTAGGTGGTACAGTGCTGTGTTTGGGATTCAGCATGAGAATAATATTGGCAACACATGGATGTTTTAAGTAGTGCTTACTCTGAGGCAAGGGCGTTTCAGTTTCCCGTGGTCTGCCAGTGAGCAGGTGCACAAGAAGCGGAGGGAAGGATTGCCAGGACAATTGCCCCCAGCTGGAAACTGGCTGTTCTGTGCCATATGACATGTCAATACTTAAATGGGAGGGGCTGGTTGCTGCCTGGGAAGCAGCATCAGTCAGTAGGTGGTGAGCAATTGTATTCTGCATCACTTGTTTTTCTTTGGTTTTATTCCCCTTTCTCATTCCTTTTCCATACAAATGTTAGCTTTTCTGATCCTCCTGCTTGTCAAATGGTGAAGGCTCAGTGGCTGTGTGGCACTTAATTGTCATCTGGGGCTAAACCACGGCACTGAGCTGGCTGCTCCTGCCGTGGAAGGGGCCACAGGGGGGAATTGATGAAACTGCCTCGCTGCTGGACCTGTGGAAAGGTTTGCTGGCACGTTCCCACTGCCTGTCTTGGTCAGGCCGGCGTAAATAGGGCTGACACCCTAAGAGTGTTAGCCACCCTTTTGGAAAGGATTGTAATGTCTTAAATTTCAGCGTTTCTGACACTAACAGTGTCAGAACTAATCTGGGCTTTCAACTTTTGATTTGCCCTCCATCAGTGGTAACAGCAATGGTGCATTTTCCTGCACTTTTGGGGTTACAGTGAGGAAAACTACATTTGGGAATGAATGGATTTCTCCTCTGAGGCAAATTAAGTGTCCAGCAGGAGCCTGCCCACCAGGGGTGGGCTGGGAAGGTGTCTCTATCTAGCTTTACCACATTGATTGATGTCGTCTCCAAAGATATGTAATGCTATTACTGTCCCTGGCTGTATGAACCCACTTGAGTCAGCTGAAGGTGGGTAGAAGAAAAACCAAAGTGAGTTAGGATGTGGATCTTGGAAATTCTTCCAGTTCTTGTTTACTGTAACTAAGATGATTTTTTTAACAGAGATTTCATGCTATTTTGTATTTTGAGGCAGAAAAAACTCAGAGTGGAGCTGTGATAAACCTCAGCTTCTTTGGCATCATTGGTTGATCTGTGGCACTAAGTTCCAAGTGTTGTGACTTTGATGTTTTTATGCACAGTGTACTACTGTGTTTGAAAACATTGTGGTCAGGGTGGTATGCGTATTTTTGTATTGCAAGTACTGAGTGTTTTCATTAATCTTGTTTATATTTGCTTTTTAGAGCAATTTTTTCGTTTAGCCCTTTCAAGATTGCAGAACTGTGGCCTTTCCAGTGAAGAAGACAGGTGAGATGGTTTATTTGGTACTGTTTCTGTTAGTTGCATTTTTAATATTTAGTACTTACCTGAAAAGGAGTGTCTGTGGGGTTATCCTGAATTGCTCAAATTAGTCAAGAGATGTAGTTAGAGCAGATTTACAGGGTCCAAGCAGTGTGGAGCTGATTCCAAGGTTTCAGTAGGCTTGGTTTTACACTTCAGTAGTAGCAGCATGCAAGAAAAATTACTCTCTGAGAGAGCTTTAACTTAGAAATTTCCTTTTATAAGTGTTTTAGAAATTCTCCAGCTGAATGCAGTCCCATCTTCCTGTAGTATCTTTTCATACTTAGATTGAATGTGACCTTCTCTTGCAAATTCAGTGTAAGATGGAGAATGTTTGAGATAAGCAGGTGCAAACCAGTGTCTGCTTCTAAGCAGAACAAATCTTGGGCATATCCCTGTGCCTCTGATCTGCTGGCTGCTGCGCACCCTTGTTCCTACTTGCGCTCAGTTTCCTTTTCCTTGTGGATCAGGGAGATCTAGGAAGACAGGAAAGGCTGTCCTTTTGGAAGTAACAAGGGTGTGGCACGGAAGGAAGCATGCCTTAGATAACTTGCTTCCCATGGATTAGATAGATTAAATTAGATTAAATCTTTAATTAGATTAAATCTCTTGTTGGAAGTCACGTCTGCCAGGTTTTGTTTTGTTTTGGAGAGCCTTTGTGTTTGTGTGTCTTGTTTTTTGCTCGGCTTTTTTGGGATTTTTTTGCAGGTGGGGTTGGCAAGTAGACTAAAGTCCTATGTTTACAAAGTGTGATGCAAATGACTCCTTAGATTTGCAGTCTAGCAAATGGGCTGACATCCTGCCAGAAGTGATGTTAATAGACACATTTCTTAATAGAGTGAATGCAAATAACGCTGAAATTGGCTGTACTTGTTTTTGTTTTTTAATTACAGAGATCATAAAAGATTGCTGCTTGAAGCCAAATGTCAGGATCACAGTGTAATTAAACTTGGGTAGAATATGTTCACACCTAAGGATTTGTTTTAATACAGAGTTTTTCTTTTTTCCCTCCCTACTGTACTCCTACCTTTCTCTGTATTTAGTCTGTTTCTAGGATGTTCAGGTTTACTCTTAAGGAAGGAAAAAAAGTGAAACTGTATTTTCTTTCAGGAATGTAATAATGGGGTAAATTTATACAGAATTGGCTGACAGAAGCTTCTCTTTTGTCTGCAGTTTGGAGGAGAGTGCCAAATGTTACATTAGAAATCCCCTGAAACCATAAGTTCAGGACCTTAATTGTTTGTGCTGTAAAGCAGAGATGCTTGTACCTTTTAAGTGGAAATGCTTGTCCTGTAGATGAAAAGTGAGGAAATTGGTATTCATCCTTTAAATGTAGATCCTCTGAGATGTAGATATGGTTAGTAGTTCTGGGAAGTATGTTACTTTTAATAAAATGAAGCATACTTCAGTGGTACTGAAGCAAAATGAGACCTATTACTATTTAATAGGCAGTAATATAAACAAATCAAGCAGACAATGACTTAATACAATATATTCTTTCTAGATCCATCAGGTTTTGTGTACAGCACTCTTAGGGCATGAATCACTGTAGCTGGGAAGGGTTTTATACATATATTTCACTGAGATGTAGTTCTTAATTGTATACCAGAGTGAAAGGCATTATTTCAATTGCTAGAGATGAACTTGCTGAACAGGTATCTTAAATCACCTCTCTTCCAAAAGATGAAAGGTATGTAATAAGGAATTACTTCAAGTTACAATCTACAAGGAACGGAAAAAGCAGTGCCTCCTCACAGTAAATGCCAGGACACACGATATAACCATATGCTAATCTTGTGCTTTTTGCTCCTCTCCCTCACTCCACCTTCATCACTTACTGATCACATTTTTTTATCCGGTTTTCTCTTTTCCTTCCTTACTTTGAGCTCTAAGCTACAGCTGTAAACAACAAGGTGTAATTTAGGAAAAGGGCAACTTCTGCCTTCTTACTGTTGCTGTAAATTGTAAGAGGCATATGTTTATCAGCCTCCTTTCTTAAGATACTTTCAAACTAGATAGAAAAATAAAATGTAAAATGAATGGTCAGAAGGAGTTAAGGGTGGGAGGGAAGGAAGGGAATTAAGGGTGTAGAGGGAGTGAGCAGACAGGATGGTATAACAGGTTTTCACCCTTCTGATTTTCAAGATACCAGGTCACATGAGTTACAGTATTAGCTGGAAGTCTTTTAATGAGTGCTTGCCTTCTACTAAGCTGTTCAGGAAACAGTAGAGAAAGGTATGCTAGCTTTTTTCATGTAACTCATCCCTGAAAGCTGCATTTAGAGCACTGGTTTTATATATGTGTGTGTGTATATATGTGTGTGTGTATGCATTTACATATATACATTTAAAGGCAGCTGTCTCTGCAGAGGTTGTTAATTCTCTAGGTAATGGAGGGAACTGCTTTGTACATTGAGATGTTGCTCAGTCTTGGCTGGAACCAGCTGTTTCCATAGATGTTGAATAATAACTCTGAGCTAAAAAAAAAAGGTTGGACTATTTCAGGAGAAAGAAATTAATTAGCTTGCATAAAATGCCATGCTGGGAATTCAATATAAGTTATAGTGGTTTTTGGGACACAGTTTTGGTGTCCTGAACCTAGAGCAAGAAGTGGCATAGAGCCTTTTTCTTACTTGAAGAAAGAACCAAAGGAGTGGGGTGTTACTGTGAGGTGACTCATATTTTCTCATTGTTCCTGCTGCAACCAAATTGAATGGCTTTTGCTCTAAACAAAGAGGCATTCTTACAACAAAAAATGATGTGTTTATTCTGGAAGGAGTTTACAGTCTTACATGTTTGATTTAAACCTTCCCTAAAAAGACAAAATATATTGAATAAAAAAAGCAGCAAGCGTATTTGTGTGCTTCCCCCCCCCCTTTTTTAGCACACTTTACTACCATTGAAACAAGATGGTAAAAGCTAAATATGCACTGAATAAACCTGTGGTAACTTTGAAAATCTTACCCTTAAACTTAAAAGCTTAACATCTCCATAATAACTGTTTTGCATGTTTTTTATCTCTGAATGTATTGTAAATTCAAAATTTCTCTTTTGATTTGATGCAGTATATCTTATTTTTTAGCACATAGTATTTTATAGGCTTAGTAATGCTGTCTAATTTGAATCTGATCATATAAGAATGCAACCTTTAATCAAGGAATCCATCTTTTTGCATTATGACAGCACACACATCACTTGTGTAAACATGTTTTGATGGCACCTTTTAAGTAGAGGGAGAAAAATCCATGCCATATTAATTTGAAAAGCTGTCATGTGTCATTGGGCTAAGATTTTTTACATGTGTAGTCCATAGGCCTGTAAGGTGAACATAAATTTTGCTGCTTTAGTTTGTTTGGAGGTGTGGAGTTGTATAATACTGCAGAAGCACCTTAATGTTGAGTTAGCTTTTCCAGACTGGGGCAAGTTTGAAGAACTGTGGCAGATAATCAAATGGCACCCATATCACGGACTGGTTAGATGATCTTAAAACAGCAGACCATTAGAAAAAGGAGATGTGTAAAAACAGTTTCACAAGAGAGAAGCCAATTATTGACTTTGTCAGTCCCTGAAATAGTGCCTTTTTTTTTTTAATGCAGCCATAGTGCATGATATGAGATTGAATCTGCTTTGTAGGGGCCAAGGGCTGCAAAAGATACAGGATCTCACTTAGAAAATGAACCAGTTAACGTGCAGAAGTATCATTAATAATATGAAGCCAGGGAGTCATAAATATTAAAACTTCTCTTTGTTCCACAGCATTCCCTGTCGACGGTGCATTGTGGTTGGTAATGGAGGAGTACTTCGAAATAAGACATTGGGGGAGAAAATTGACTCGTATGATGTCATAATAAGGTAAATGCTATCTCCTTTTCATTTTGTGTACACAGAGCAATGGGTAATTCTCCAAGGCCAGCTACTCTCTCTGCCCTTCTCTAGTGTGTGTGTGTTGGAGCCAAATCAGAAGACTTGCTTTCTGCTCATGTGATACACGATAAGCAATTGTGTGACTGTATTCCAAACGACCTTGGCCACGTTCCCGTGTGTGCTTGATCCCTCTGAGTGTAGAGGGTGAAGGCACCTGATAATTGCTCCTCTGCTGTGCAATGTGATATGTAGATGCTGGGCTGCTAAACTTCCTGTACCCAGACACAGTATCTGTCCTGCAGACTGATAACACGTGTGGCAGCCACTGCACAGTAAGAACACAGGTGGAGCAGTCACTGATGTCTCTGTGCCTCTGTCCTCTGCAGAATGAATAATGGCCCTGTGATAGGGTACGAAGAGGATGTTGGGAGGAGGACGACGTTCCGCCTTTCTTACCCAGAATCCATCTTCTCAGATCCCATCCACTACGACCCCAATACCACTGTTGTTCTCATCGTCTTCAAACCACGGGACTTGAAGTGGCTTTGGGAGATACTTGGTGGTCAGAAAATAGTGAGTTCAATTATTCATGTGCTGTGGCTCGACTTGCCACACATTTCTTGTGTGAAGTACACATTTGCTTTTAACTGTAGTCCTCCCACCTGAGAGGGAGGCACTTGGTGCCATGGTTTAGTTGAGGTGTTAGGGTGTGTGTTGGACTCGATGATCTTTAAGGTCTCTTCTAACCTAGTCATTCTGTGAATTTTGTGAATTCTGTGAGGAGCTCTGGATCTCCTTGTAGTCAGTCTCCTTGTAGTTAATACCCCTCTTCCATAAATGCTTTGTCGTCTTTCTAATGCACATATTTGATCAGTTCCTCACCACTGAGCAGTTTACCTCTGGGAAATGTATTTTTATCCTCTTCCTAGTGTTGTTTGATATTTTAACATGCATGCTCCAGCCATTTCCCAGATTGTTTTACCCTGCGCACTTGCAGGAATTGCAGAATTACGTTAAAAGTGATCTCTCTCAGAAAGGGCCAGGTTCAAAGTCATACTGGGTTCTCAGGGCACTGTCTGAGTAAATTTTGAGTATTTCTACAAACTCCATTTCAGTGCTTTAGCACACTTACAGGAGAAAATTTCTCCTTATCCTTTCACTGTGTGCCTCTGAGAAGAGTGTGATCTCATCTTTGTTAACCCCTTCCAGATAGTTGAAGATGGGTTGAACAAACCCAGCCTGCTCAGACTCTTTGTTTGCTGTGAGCTCTGGCCCCTTGGCTGTTGTAGTGACCGTCTGCTCTTCGACACTCTTCCTAACACAGCATTTTAAGGACTGCAGAAAGGGGACAGTGCAAAGTAGTTGAGAATAATAGCAGCTTCTGTCTGCCTGTCTATGCTCTTACTAACGTGGCCAGCACACAGTGAGCATTTATGGCCTCCAGGGCATATTGTTGGTACATGTTGTCCATGAGGGACCGTTCTGCAATGCTGTTTTCCAGCCAGCTGGCTACAGCTGCAGCAGTGTGTTTCCTGTTGCAAGAGCAGGTGTTTTTGAACTTAGGGAGATTGAGCACTCTTCTTCTTCTGCCTCATGTTCTTGGAGTTTACTCTGGTTAGAGTTGCTACAAAACTAAATTCAACTGTTTTCACTTGTTAAAAATGCGTATTTATTTGCCTGTCACAGAGTGTGAAGGGCTTTTGGAAGAAACCAGCTCTGAATATGATCTACAAATCGAGTCAAATCAGGATTCTTGATCCCACCATCACCAGGAAAACTGCTTATGAGTGGCTTCATTTCCCAAAAAGGTTTCCTAAGAAGGAGGTACACTTTTCCTTTTGTCTCTTCTAGTTTTGTGCAACCAAATGTGTATTTAGAGGCAATTACATCTTCATTACAGTAGAATGTAATGCCCACCTCTGTGCCTGGGAGCCTGCACATCTGCAGTGGCACAGCTTGGTTAAGCTGCAGGTCACACTACGGGCTCTGTGGGCAGGAAGGTCTCACACCGGGGCCCTCGGTACCATTGCTTGTCCCTGGGCAGAGCTGGTGCTGCCTTCGCTGTCCTCTGCCTGCAGGACATGTCAGCAACCACTGCTGATTTCCCTGCTGTCCCTGCCTTTTCCATTAAACCAGTCTCCATTCCCAGTGAGCACGTTAGTGCATAGCCAGCAAGCACTTCTGTTTGTTAGTAGAGCCGGGAATAAAATCAGATGTGTTGCCCCAGCACCACTAAACTCAGAAAGTGTAATGGTGTCATTCCAGGGCTGTGCCTATTCCCATTAAGTAGGCTGAAAATATTTAATTGCAGGTGAAGGATATCTGTGTATTGCATGATAGTACATTTTAAAAGTAGTTGCTTTTAAACTATATATTTTTAGGTGAATTTTACAATAGCTACAGGTAAACAGAGGTAGTTACAACCTGTGGTATTCCTGATATTTCCAAATAGCACTAATCCCGACCTATAGCATTCCTGCCATATTTTGGGGTCCTGTTTGTATGGATGTTGCAGCAGAGCTACCACTAAGTTTATGATGTTGGGCCCCTAAGGCAGAAAGTTATTTTGCTAACTGGCAGGAACCCTCGGCATAGTGCACATTTTAAGCAGATAATATTTCTGGAATACTCAAAGAGTTGCATAAAGGTACCAAAAATTTTTCCATAAAAGGTGATAGTTCCTTTCTGTGACTTCAGTTAGGCTTTAAAGAGCTGAGAATAGTAACTTCTTCCTGGGGATTTTTTGTGTTGTCACACAAAGTGTTGTCACAATGAAATACATTGAGTGCCTCTGTCTTTTCTGTGCAGAGTTGTCTAGTACTGGTTTGTCGGCTTCTTTTTCAGAGACAACCTGAGTCTTGGGGTCAGAGTTCAAAAAAAAGCCCATGATTTTGTGCTCAGTTTGAGGTTTGACTGCAGATACCAAGAGCATATGATAGCTCATTTGGTCTCTGAGAAAAATATTTCTTTAGCTAATAGGGGTATTGGTGCCTGAAAGTTTTGTCCATTTCTGGGGACACCTTTTCACCTTAGCTTCGTCATGGTCAAATGAATGAGTTAATCTCTCTCTAAAAATGCATGCCTCATTTACTTCCCCAGATCATATTAGCCTCTGCTGCTACTAAAGAAGTCATGTATCTGAACACAAGATAGGGCAGATGGTTGCATGGAGTTCTGTGCTTTTGTGAGAAATGCTACCTTTTGGTTAGGTGCTCTTAATTTTGCGCAGTTCAAACCTGTTTAGGATGTGCTCTTCATTTTACATTGCATTTGCTTCCAAACTTATTGTACAGAGAATAATTTTATTTAAAATCTTGTTTCTTCTAATGGGGATAGCATGGGAAGATCTAAAGCAAAGTTCTTCTGGAATTTCCCTGCTTTGAAGAAATGCAAATTCAGTCAAATTTGTGGAGCCATAGCCTTCATGCTTTTTTAGTTTGTTGCTATGAAAATTTTGTCATATCATGTTCTGTTCATCAGGGTCTCCATCATCTAGCAACTTCTGAGCACATCTCATAATTCAGTCAAATTTGAGGGGTATGTAAATTGTTTTCCAGTGTAGTGAAGCCTGTCCAGTTTTATGAAAGAGGCTGAGCAGAGCAATGGGGAGACTTCCTGATGCTTCTCTGGAGAGAAGGGCTACACTGTGGGCTCAGCCCTCACTAGAAACCAAGGAATTCCAGGGAAGGCTGACATGACAGACACCCCGGTCATGGGAAACTTGTGGGGCAGTACCTTATTTCTTTAGAGGCAGGAGGCCTGTGAAACCAAATATCTGTAGAAGACCCTGGCTGCCTGATTACCCTTGTCTCTGTTTTTAAGTTTGCTGCTCCCATCAGTCTGCCAGGTATGTATGTGTGTGTTCTCTTTGTGTTTTGTTGCAGAAACCCAAGCATCCAACAACGGGGCTAATTGCCATTACACTGGCATTTCACATATGCCATGAAGTCCACCTGGCAGGCTTCAAGTACGACTTCACTGACAGAAATAGCTCTTTGCACTACTATGGCAATGAAACCATGTCTCAGATGATGCAGGTAACTAGCACTTGTTTGTGCTGGGAGAAATAGAGCTGGTAACTGAGGAAGTCAATTCAATACAGATAGAAGTGTGGACTGCAGGTCAGAAGGGCCTCCCACCTTCTCCTGGTTCAGCTGCTTGTGGGTTAACACTGCTTGAATCTCTTCTTGTCTGCTGTTTTTTCTGAAAAATGTAGATACTGATCTTTGTGTCCCTTGTGCTGTACCATATTCTGCAGTGTCTGCATGAGACGTCCTTTGTGTGTTGTGTTCTGCTTTGCTGGTGTTTTCCTTAGGCTGCACAGCTCTTGTCCTAGAGACATCTTTGTTAGCACTGTCAGCACGCACATGAGCCGTGTTGTTTCTTCTGGGGTTCTCTTTCTCCTTGGCACCTACTTGTACTGTATGTCATAGCTGTCAGACTCCTTAAAAGGCAGAAAGAAGAGCAAAGGGAAATGGAAGGAGTTAAGACCTATGAACTTGTATAGGTCTTGCATAGGAAAATAACTGAATTTTGGGAACTCAGTAGTAGAAAAGTAGAAAAGAAAAGCAGTTCTTGGAGGAGGGTAGGAAGAGAAGGAACTGCTTTCAGGAGGGGGGAAGCCACAACTCAGCAGGAGAGGGAGCAGCAGGAGCCTGGAAAACATCAGGAATGCTGTCTCTTTCCTGCTGCTTTGCTAAGGCCATGTTTTCTTTTATGTCTCTGCTCTTGTATTCAGTTGTCTTCATCTCTGTATTTCAAGCAACCCTGTCTTAGCCCTTTACTGCAATGTGAAGTTTTCTTTGCCATTTTCCCAGAGCATATGGCTACCATTTTCCTCCTCTTCCAGTTGCTGAAGAGGAAGGGCAGAGACAATGCCCATAGGAACCTTTCATGTTTTTCTCAGAACTCCTAGATGCCTGCTATTCTGAGAAAATTTTCCTCTGACACTGAACTTACCTTCCTTTGGAGGCTCCTCTCTGCAGGTGCTTTTCTGCAACATATACTAAGTTTGAGTAAGACTGATCATTAGTTGAATAGACATCCATAAGTTCCCTAAGTCTTGAAAATTTAAAAAGCAAACTATTAAACAAAAATATTCCTTTTAGTTCTTTAGTGGCAATAAATTGCAAATACTATATGACATCTGTATAATCTTTTATGTAGTATACATATTATATTAATTTTAATTCACAGGATTCAGTGTCCTTAAGTAAATTCACTTTCCTTGTGCTGCCTGCCACTAACTTTAGTGGTCTCCTATGTATCCAGAACCTGGATAGCACATAAGATGGGTTGCTTTGGGCTTGCTGAACCTAATTGGCAGGATGCATCTGAACCACAAGTGCCTGATGTGCTTTTCAAGAACCTGCACTGAGCTTTGAGGATTACTAGTTTTCTTACTGCTGGTGCTGTAAATGTTCTTACACAGCTGTTGTTCTGAATAAGCAGGGCAAGGAGTTGGGAGAGTTAATACTGGAAGGATTTCTGCGAGACCACATTTCACCTGTTCTTATGACCAAAGGATCATCCTTTTTGGTCATGTCCTTATGGAAATATCTAATCTAGTTTTGAGCATCCTGTTTTCTTGGGAAACCGTGCTAAGCCTTTGCTAAGAAGTCTTTTCCCCAGACCTTTTCTGTTCTTAGCATCTTCCAAGTATCCCGGGTAATAGAAAGGAACAGCCAGGTGATGCTACTGGTTATAATTTGGTTTTATAATTAATTTTATTATTCCCTCACATCTCTTTAGAATGAATACCACAACATCACTGCTGAGCAGAAATTTTTGAAGAAGCTTATAGACAAGAACTTTGTGGTCAATTTGACATGAAAGCTGAATGGAAAATACAAAGAACAATCACTATTTTCAAGATTTGGAAAATTTTTATTTTTTGTATGACATTTTTATTTTTTAAGTGCAGCATAACTGTTTACTGTTTAAAGGAACCCAGAAACCTCATCAAGGCAAAAGCTTTTAACTGAGGGTAATGGACTGTTGGAAAAAGAGTTAACTGAATTTTTGTGAAGCTATTTAATAGTGGGAAAACCATGAAACTTTCAACTGAAAGTATCAGGGATTTATAAAAATGTGATATACATCACTTACTTATCAGTGAGAACTCTTTCCAAATGACTAATTCTCTGGAATACTTTCATTTCTGATGTTGTCCTCCAAAAGAGTTCCACTGTCAAGAGACTGCGATGACCGATGTTCGTTCAGTAGGTGGATGTAAAGTCATGACTGTCTGTCTTGTTGTATGAAAAAAACTATGCATCTAAATCATTACTGTGTGTTTTGGAGAAGGGGGAACATACAGACTGTGCAGGTCTTGTTCTGCCGTACTCCTGAGGAGAGGATGTCCACCTTCAGCCAAGCAGCCACAGCTTCTGCACTGACCATCACCTCTGAGCTTCTGTCCGCCTTTGCCGAAGGTGAAGACCCTTTGTCCGATTCATGGAGATGTTGGTGTTGACAATGCTTGTGTTGTACCCATTTTATGGAAGAATCATACTCTTTGTGCTGTTCATCCAGTAAATTTTACAGTTGCTGACTTGACTTAAAAAAGAGGGAATATGAAGACTGAAGAGTTGTCCGAACTACCTGTGTGTCAGCCCCCGTACCACAACAGAAACACAAGCTTGGACAGAGATGTTCATGCCTGAGTTTAGAGTCAATGTTTGTTGGAGTCCTAGTTCTTCAGGACCCCATCTCATGCATTCTTCTGTTTGGTCCTCAAAAACAGGTGGATTTTTCCAAATGAGGACAATCTCCTTCCTCAGATGCTGTAATGCACCAATACAAACAAGGAATACTCCCATTTTTGGTAGCAGAATGTAGTAGGGAATATCCAGGATGTACCTCAGCTGAATTATCATTTGGCATCTGTTTACCTCTTCTGTGTTGATATTTAAGTTTGAAGTTTGTGGATGAACTAAATCATTTAGCAGTGGGAACTTGCTCAAGATTTTAGTTGAAACATTTAATGGGATGTTTATATTTCCTGTATTGGTTTGTCTCTGACAAGCCTGTGAATAAATGAAATCTGCTTGGGAACACGCTTGACAGCTGTCAAAGGACAACAATATGCAGTTCCAGTTCTCTTCATAGGACATCTATATAAAATTTTAATTTTAATTATGGCAGAATTTCTGGAAGATTTTGTGGTTTATCTTCATCAATCAAACCTGAAGAAATCAGAAATAAGTCCACTTAAAGTCTTTGAAGTTGGTAGTACTGTTGTTGCTTTTAAATAAAATTATATAGAGAGGATATTTAGGAGTAATGCAAACAATCACAATATGAACATAAACCATGGTATTTGTTATTTTCAGGAGGTGAGGATTGCAAGAGTACTGAACACAATTTATTTTGCTGCAGCTGTGTAGAGGAATTGCCATTTGGGAGTTAGGGGGAGAGCAGTGTGGTCTGGAGAGGTGCCACAGCTGGAGGGAAGGAGGCTTGTGTTTTCACCCAGTGATTCCTGAGCTTTGGTCTGTTTCAAGCAAGCTGGACATACCTGAAATAACTTGAGATGTCAGAAAAATCTGTGGCATGGGCTGGGGAAGGATGCAGGTGTGTCCCAGCAAGGGACAGGATGTGCCATGGTATATTGTCTGCTGCATGTTGCTTGGCTGCAGCTGCACTCCAGCTGTGTGCAGGGTGGCAGGTGGGGGTGTGGAGGAGAAGGAGCATGTCCCCAGGTGTTGGAACAGGTGACACTGGTGGTAGAAATGGAGCAAATCATAATTTCTTCACCAAGTGGCAGAAGGGCTCTTAATTTTTTGTATTTCCTTTATTTTTTCCTGAGACTTTGGAGAGATTTTTGCTTGAAAATCTCAATACAAACATGTATACATAAGAAAATAGTGACATTATTGTCTTTGTGTCTCTACCAGCGTTTATTTCTCCTGGTTATTTCAGTTAAATTAAAAGTTTTGTGTGTGATTCTGCAGCCGCAGACCTACAGTGATTTAAACTCCTGACAATAGTAATTCTACTGCTGTGGCAAGGCTTTTTGCAGACATAGCAGTGTTCTCCAAGCTGTTGTTGCAGAGGAGCCCCTGGTAGATCTTAGACTGTGTTGAGCAGCAGAAGTGGGGGGCTGCCCCTTCACCCTCAAAACCTGCGGTTGCTTCCAGAGCTGCGGCCCCCAGCTCTCCCAATGGCTGTTGCCACGGTCCAGCTGCATCCATGTAATGTCTTGCAGGATGCTGTCCAGGAGGATTTTTTTCCAGGAGAGCTGTTGAATATCATCCAGACACTATGAGGAGAGTTCTTGTGATGGTGCAGACTGCATCCCTCTGCTTCTCCACCCCTGTCTCCAGTTCCAGGAAGTGGGTACAGAGCTCTGCTTTTGAAGATGTGGTTATTTTCTCTGCTTTATTTCATCTCCAGAGATACTCTTCCCACTAATGTAAACTGATTCCTTCTCTGATTTTTCTAGTAGGTTTTCTGCTTTTTTTGGGATTTGGATTCTAGCTGTAGCAGAACAGACAAAATAATTGGAAAAAAATAGCAGCTTCATGGTAAACAAATGGTGTCTCCCAAACTCTTTGTACTTAAAAAAAATCCCTTCAATCTTCTTCACTTTTGCCACAAAGATCAGCTTTTTGATCTCCCTATATTTTTTAAAAAATAATGTTTGGTGTTATCAAGGAATTTAATATGTTCTCTATAAGCATTTATCCATATCAGCTGTTTCTTTTCATATCCTAATAAGCCTTCCCATGGTATGGCTGACTTATTTTTCAAATTAAGCAGTACTTCCAGGGATATTTTTCTTCCACTTCCGTGCTCCTGCCAGGGGTGTTGAGTCCACCACAGTTATTGTCCCTGGGTGACTGGGTAATGTTTTGAATGAAACTGTTCCCTCAGGATCAAGCCAAGAGCTGATGCTGCTGATAAACTATGGGGCATTTGTGGTGGGTTTTTTTTGTTGTTGTTGGGGTTTTTTGTTTGTTTGTTTTTTTGTTTGGGTTTTTTGTTTTGGTTTGGTTTGGTTTGGTTTTTTTTGAAAGCCCAGCTTGCAGGCCAGTAGCTTTTCTCCTCTATAATGCAAGCAGTGAGCCAAGTCATGAATTTTTCTCCCCACAAGATGTTTTGTAGGATCCTGTGCACTGTTCCAGCACCTGCTTTAATAATTCCTGCTGCTCTGCCTTGAGGACAGGTCTTGCTTTGAACTTAATTCAGGCAGGAACACCCATGTGTAGTGTATTTCTCAGCAGTACTCACAGATTAGTGTCTATTCTGTCTGGGCACATATTTTCACAGGTGTTTTGCAGTACCAAAGACTTAACTTGGGGCTTTTAGAATAAAACAATAATGCTAACATCAAATATTTAGATAGTTTCTGAACCTGAGCTGCTATTAAGACTATTTTACCTTTTTGTTATTTCTGAAAATGAAATCTGCACTGAAACTTCCCTTTAAGAGCTATCCAGGTTTTTTTTTTGGTTTTTTTTTTTTTTTTTTAATCATATCAGGAGTGAAGCTGCCAGTTTTGAATCCCAGGGTGCTGCCTGCTTTATTTCTGTGCCTGATAATGGTGTAACTGTGTAGGTCCCCAGTTTCTCCCATAATTTTCCTATCTGAAGTCAGATGTTCTCCTCCCTTATTACTCTGTTCCTGTTCTCTGGCAGCTTGTCGAATTTCTAGACAGCATCACCTTACAGCAAAGGTGCTTCTGCATTTTATCTGCCATCCCTCTCAAAATGCTGCACTGTCAGACACAGCTCTAAAATACCAGACCAGGCACAGAAGAGGCAGGATGACACATGTTGGCTGAAAGCTCCATTTGGCTTAGACTTTCATGAGGTTTCTTTGTTGGGAAACTGTTATTTCCTCTGCTGTAATAATTAAGGGAAGTCGCAGACTGTTGCACTAAATATGAAACTGAGAGTGCCTAAAAGATGTTCCTAAACATATTCCAGATATTTTCAGGGACTGTGTCGGTGATAATAATAGAGAATCACAACTTTGGTGTTTAATTAGCATGTGGTACTTCTTGTTTCCAATGCCATGCTTTAATTTTTAGCAATGCTCTGGGGGAGAGTATAAATACCTTCCCTTTTAAGTGGACTCTGGTTTTTAAGAACGTACAAAGCTCTGCATATGTTTTTGATACTGGGAAATACTTATTTGCCATTTGTCTTAAGTTTTATATGCCTTTAAAGTGCCACCTGTATTTTGAAGAATTCTTAAGAGTTGTTTCCAGTGAAATTTTGAATGCTACATATGGAAGGAGATTATTTTCCTTTGAATAAACTGTTAAAGACAGTGCCCTCAGACTTATTTTTGCAAGGCTGGTGCTTTGCATGTGAGTGTGGATGTGTGGGTATGCTCAGGGCCGTTATTATTAGTGTGTCAAGTAAATGGTGTTGTCAGATATGGTTTCAAGTACTGGAACAAACTTTAGTGCTTTGTAGAGCAAACAGCTGAAAGTTTTTGAACCTAGGTGGGCAGAGTTGTACTGTGGCTAGAGATCTAACTCCAGGCTGAGTACAGCCATAGCTGAGACATGTTTTTTGTGGGTAAGATAAAGAACAGCATCCTTGTGATTCGAATTTTTCACTGTATTTTGAATCTTGTTTGTCTTACTGTGGGCTGGCGGGGGAATGCTAAAATAAGAGATGCAGAACAAAGACAATAGTGTGCAATAAAAATTTTCAGAAAGTGAAAATGGCTTTAGATAGAGAGATGCTGAGAGTGCAGTACTTAGCTAGCTGTTTTTCCTTTGTGCAGTAAAAATGAGATGCTGAGGGCTTCAGGGAGTCCAAGGGAGATTTGGATAACAGTTCTCTAGCACAGTAGGTATTCAGTGCATTGCTTTCAGTAAGGACAGTTCAGGAGTTCACCAGCTTGGACAAAATGCTTGTCTTTGAGGTGAGGTGGGGAAGCCACATCAGGAGAGCCAGAACCTCTCATCCTGGGCAGCCAGTACTGCCTTTTCAGGCAACACAAGCCCTTAGCAGCAGCCTCTGTGGCTGATTCCTTGGCTGCCCCTCTGCCTTCTTCAGCTGCACTCCCGTGTTGGCTCATGCTGAGCAGTATCTGTCCCCAGGGGCTGCCTGAGGGAGCCCTTCCCTCTTTGTGCACCCCCCAGACCCTGCTGTGCCCTCCCACCAAATGGGACGTGTTCCCTCTCTTAGAGCATGTTTTGCCAGGAGATGGGAACTAGAGAAAAGGGTGTATCTCTTAATTTTCCCCCCCTATATCAGGCTGTCAGTGGTTTCAGAGAGCCCTTGTGGTCTGATAAATGAGTTCAGCAGGATGAATGTTCCTTCTGTTAGTTCTGAATGAAGACAGAATTGGTTTTTGGTCTTATTTTTAAAGATATTTAATAAGATATTTCTTTCAAATCAGTACAAAAATTTTAAATACAAAAATTATTTGCTTTTGACATATCTCATATATTCTGGGAACATACTGAAGTCACCAGTGTCTGGTAAACTGTCCATCCATTCCTGCCACTGTTCCATAAAATTTCTGAGATAAAGCACCACATTATATCACTGGAATCCTTAGTCAACGTTAGACTGCATTAAACTCTGCATTTAAATAATGATAATGCCAGTTAAATCCAATCTTAGTTCTGCATGAAAAAATCTAGTTTATTTTTGAATCGAAAGCAGTAGCGGTAGTTAAAGACACTGAGGAAGTGATGAGCACTTAACCACTTGAACTAGCGCAGCCATGTGTGATGTGCAGCACTGTACAGGGAACCAGAGCAAGGTCCACTGCCCTTTGGAAAGAACACTTGCTGAGGTGAGATTAGCACCACTGATGAGCAGACAGAGACTTCGTGCACAGAAGTCGATGTCCTCAAGTACAGAAAAAGTATTGCGGCCTGCAGGTTCTCCTTGACAACTGGTAACATACAAATAAGGATTGGAAATCAGTTTTTAGACAGAACCAAGTTCTCGGATAAATTTGCGTGATCAGTATTGCCGGTAAAGTTATTGGTTGTTCTCAAGCAACAAATCAGTTAAGCAAACAGAGCTGCTTCTGCTTTGCCTAGTCATTGAAGAGCAAACTGAGTCAGCTTTTGCTGAGTGGCAGAATAGGTGTCTCTTCTGACAAGCCAAGTGAGTTCTTGGTACAAGCACAGAAATCCAAGCAAATTTATGCCACCCTGAAGTATTACCGTGTGTTGGCCAAAATGTCTCAATGACGTGGCTCAAGTAAATGGGGGAGATTGACCTCATCTACTTGGCTGTGTGAATAGAGAACGGAGACTTTTCAAGTGCTGTGGCATTTGGAGGTGAAACCAGTGCCTGCCGGAGTCACTAGTGACATTTTAGGTCCTGCTGGAGAAGGCTCAGGGGGAATGGTCATGCCATCAGGATTCCTCTTTCATCATAAATAAATTGTTTAGGAAAAAAACCCACACGTGCAGGATTATTTTATTACAGGGGAAGGGAAATACGAGTCTCCAGCTAAGGAAACCTTTACTTGTCAGGTAGACCTGCTATAAAAAATCCAAGAAAACCCCCACCCAGAAAAATAAGCCACTCGATTTTTTAAAAATATAATTAGAGACTGACCTACTCTGCTTTAAGTCACTGTTTTTCATCTCATAACTATGATCAATGCAACAGGAGTGAGTGACATACACTGATTTGAATTTGAGTACTGAATTACTGTGAATGAAATTAAGTAAGCATGGCATTGCGGAAATATATAATGTGTACAGCTAATATGTCCCCCTTGGGTGCAAAACAACTGTTTATGAACCTGATACACATCTTTAGATATGTTCACCACACCTTTTTTTTTTTTATAACTAGCTGTGCATAATGTTAAACTTTGTATTTATTATTTTTGTTTTTGTACAAGATGGTCCAAAATGGTCATAAAATGCATCTTTTGTTGTATAAAAGTTAGAAGCACAGGAGAAAGTTTTTTATTTTGTGTGTGTGTTGTGTGTGTGGGTGTCTGTTTTGTTTTACATGGGATACAATAAATACCCTGAAAAAGACGAATGAACGTACTGCCCGGCATAGAGTCCTGCCGCCTGCTCGGATGGCATCTGAACGTAAACCTTGTCTCCGTGCATCAGCTGCACCACGGCGCTACCCGAAGCCTGGTCCAGGAAGCCCTTCTTGTACTCGTCGTAGGTGTACATGAGCGGCTCGTTGTTCTTGTACAGCGCCACCCACACGTTGGCGCCTTTACAGTGCAGGTGGTAGGCGAAGTAGTAGACGCCGGGGATCTCGCAGGTGAAGATCCCCGTCTGCGGGTTGTAGTTCTGCCGGCCGTTGTACAGGAGCTTGTCGAACTTCACGGGTACCCCGACGCGGGGGAAGGGCGTGAGGAGCTCTGCCGTGAATGCGGGCATCTCGTAGACAATGCCGCCAGCCTTGCCTTTCTTGCCCTTGTAGCCGTAGGGGGGCTTCAAGCCTTCTATCCCTGGCCCCACCTCAGGCAGGTACTGTCCCACGGCTGGTGGAGTGGGTGGGATGATGACCGGGGGACCTGGCGGCCCGGGGGGGCCGGGTGGCCCCTGGAGCCCAGGCTGGCCAGGGGGACCGAGCGCGCCCGGCTTTCCCGGGGGTCCCTGCAGCCCCGCAGCACCAGGTTTGCCTACCCCAGGGAAGCCGGGGGGGCCGGGCATGCCTGGCTCCCCCTTCGCCCCTGGCAGCCCGGGGGGGCCGATGGGACCACTGGGTCCCGCGATGCCCGGGATGCCCGAGGGGCCTTGAAGCCCCTGGGCACCGGGGAGCCCGGGCTCACCCTTTGGCCCCACAAGACCCGGGACTCCCGGCAGCCCCGGCAAGCCTTTGTGTCCGGCTTCCCCCTTGGGTCCTGTGGGACCCGGCAGCCCCCGCAGCCCAGGGCCACCCACTTCCCCAGGAAAGCCTGGCTTTCCTGGAAAACCCTGCAGGCCGGGTTCCCCCTTGGGGCCGACTGGTCCTGGTGCCCCTACGGCACCTTCCTCCCCTTTAGGTCCCGGGAAACCGGCGGCCCCCGGGGGGCCCATGATGCCCGGCAGTCCTGGCTGGCCGGGCTCCCCTGGTGGCCCTCCCATGCCAGGTGGCCCCGCGTGCCCCTTCTCCCCCTTCGGCCCCAGGGGCCCAGGCAGACCACCCACACCTCGCTCCCCTTTGGGCCCGGGGAAGCCCGGCTTCCCAACCCCAGGGAGGCCGGGGGGCCCGGGCAGGCCTGGCAATCCCTGCTCCCCTTTGCCGCCCGGGAAGCCGGGCTGGCCGGGCATGCCGTCCTGGCCTGGTTTGCCAATACCAGGCGGGCCGGGAGGGCCTTGGATCCCAGGGGCCCCTGGAGGCCCCTGCAGACCCAACTCTCCTGGGGGTCCGGGTTTGCCCAGGGGTCCCTGTGGGCCAGGGAAGCCAACCATGCCGGGTTTGCCAACCCCTGGCAATCCCACGGGGCCGGGCGGACCAGGCAGCCCAGGTGGACCCTTCAGACCTGGCAAACCTGGGATCCCGACCCCCTTCTCCCCTTTTGGCCCTGGGATCCCAGGGATTCCTGGTGGCCCCTTCATCCCAGGCTCACCCTTTGGCCCTGGTTGCCCCTGCAGTCCCGGAGCACCCGCTTTCCCTATCCCAGGAAGCCCATGAGGCCCTGGTGGTCCTTGCGGTCCAGGTATCCCCATGGGCCCAATCTCCCCCTTTGGCCCCATCTCCCCTCTTGGCCCTGGGGGCCCCATGACCCCTGGTTTTCCTGGCATCCCTGGCAAACCCGGCTTTCCAATTCCTGGGTATCCTTGCGGGCCTGGTTTTCCTTTGGCTCCTGGTACACCATGACCTGGTAATCCTGGTGGCCCTGGTGGCCCTCTTGGTCCAGGCTCACCCGGGGGACCTTGCTCACCCCTCAGACTGCGCATGGGAATTTCTGGGTCAGGAAGAAACAAAGAAAGGGGAGAGAGAAAGAGAGAAAAGGTGAGTGCAGTCACATCCTTCAAAAAGCAGGCAGTTTTGAATTGAATATGCTTTTTATGATGCCTTGTGGTTCTGTGGTAGACAAGAGACAGCTAGCAAGTTACAGGTTGGTGTTGAGAATGAAGAGGATGTTAGTACTGTTTTTCATACTCCAAACTTCCATGCATGTTTCTGTTTCCACAATTACTGTGCATCATATGTAAAAGCCATTTGTGCTTTGGTGGTGTTTTCTACCTATACAATCTTAAACAGCAAAATCTGCATTTTGTCCCACATTGCTATAGATCAATCTACCTTTAAGAATTTTTGCAGGAAACTCGGCGCTCTTGTGGTGTGGGAGGAATCCTGGCATAAAAGTGCCTTTTCTGGAGGGGTGTAAATGAGTAAGATCAATTAAAAAAGATTGTATTAGTAAGAAGTTTACACATAGGGTATGTCTGTATTTTCCCCAAGGCTTTGGTTCCCATTAGAGATTACTGGAAACCTGCAGCCTTAATCAGTATTGTTCTTTTGGCATAGCCATTTCTAGCTCTGGCTCTTCTAAACACTTTGCAAAAGGTTTTTGTTGTTGAAACCCACATTTTTGTGTATGTGACCACTTATCTTTGCAGGTCAGAGTAGGGAAGTTGCTGCTGGGGTTGGTTGCTTTTCAAGCTACTGCTTTTTGGGTTAATGGAAACTCTTTCCAGCTCTAAAATGTGTAAAGAAGTGAGAGATTTGGGGAAGGACAGGAGATGAGGTTTGAGGACAGACGTCTGCTTTATGGGAGGCAGAAACCTTCCCTCTCTGCATATGTTGTGTTTTATGCACATCAAAAATCTTTGCTCATGAGGTAGGTTGACTTTACTACAGCCAATGGTGCTTGTTCAGACACTCCAAAAATAGGCCCTGAAACCTTCCATTTCCCTCTGAAGTCAGTGGAGGCTGTGGTTAGCTGGGGCCTCAGTAAGACAAAGTTACCCGTTTGTCTGCGTTGCACAGATGCTGGTGGTCCTCGCAAGGATTTTATGACACTGGGTGTTCCTGGTCACCCTTTGTATTTTGGACTCTTTTTTTTCTTAAATACCTTAATAATGTCCAAACTTCCTTTACTGAATAGGGAAAGTGCTTGTACATGCAGACTTGTGCATTAATCCTCTGTACTTTCAATGCCTCTGTTACACCCATAAATAACCTACAGAAGGAGGACTCCAGAGTCTGCAGAGCAATTGTGTATTTTTATCCGCAAACCTCAAAATCACAGGGTCTGGACCAAGTCAGACAGAACGGTGATGTTCCATAAATTCAAACCTTGGGGCTCTTAGTTCATATGTTTGCTTGTTACAGTGAGAGTGGGAACAGATCCAGACAGGACTCTGGGCCATCATTTGAAACCCCATCAGATGGTCTCCTACAAACCGGTGGGATGACAAGGTTTTTCCTAGAGTTGAACAGCACCTAAGCAAACCTTTGTGCTGGAGGCTCATTGCAGGTAGGGCTGCTCAGAGGCTGTGCTGCAGCCCTGAGGATGACTGTGGTCTTGTGCTGGTGACCCTGAGCCACCCCACAGCTCCCATGAACCTGTTTTGTCCACCTGTGGCCAAGTATGAGCCTGGCCAGCCCTCTGGGCACAAGCTGTGCCCAGCCTGCAGCAGCAGCAGCCTGCTCCAATGTTCAATTTCCCGATGGCAAACAGTGCTCTGGCAAACCAGATGGGACCATGCAGGAGTGGAGAGGGACATGCTGAAATACCTTTCTCTTTCTTGGGAGCCATATCCTTGCCGAGCATGGGCATCTGCGGGACCTCCTTCCTGTACTGGGGCAGATGGGGGTACTCCTTCCCGTAGGGCATGCGGGGCACCTCCTTGCCCAGGTGCTGCATCGGGATGCCTTCTTTGCCCAGCGGCATGTGAGGTACTTGTTGTCCGAGGGGTTGGTACTGGGGCACCTGAGGTGGCAGCTGCTTGAGCCCATAGTAGGCACCACCTTGAGCAGACCTCACCAGCTCTAGGTAAACAGTGACAGCCACTGCCAGCAGCTGCATGGGGAAGAGCAGCATGACCATCACCTGTGAAAAGCACCACAAAACACACAGTTGGAAGATGTTTTTTCATGTTGTGCATTCCTCATTAGGGCAAGCTGTTCTCATTTTCTGCAGCAAACTGGACCTAAATCTCTGCAAAGTGGCCCTGGTTTGTGTGCTGCCCTAGAAGATGTCCTGCAGCAGGTGACTTACTGGAGGGTCTACTCAAGCAGTGCTGTTACAGCAAATGCCCTTCTATGTATTTAGTTTTATGCCACCCCAGAGGAGCCTGTGTGGTTACTCCACACAGAGGCCTGCTCCCAGTTTGCTGCATTCTCACCTGTGCCAGTGCCACAGCACAGCTTTGGGGAGCTCTGCTGCAAGCTCTGGCACATGGGAGGAGCAGGCAGGGGATGTGGGGATCTCCTAAAGGCATTCTGCCAAAGGAAGCCGTATTGTCAGTTCCCCTTCTGCTTTCCACAGCAATGAAAGCTCTGTTTCTGAGCTTAAATCTGTGCCTGGGATTGTACCCTGTGGTTGCAGTGTCCAAGGGCTGTCTGTTTCTATCACAGCTCCGTGCTAGCTCTCCTCTTAGCTGGGCTGAGATCCTCTTGGCCTCCTCCCAGAAAAAGTGTGCCTGCTTAGCTTGCCACCACTCCAGGTAGGATCAGCCAGCCCAAGCCTTCCTATGGGAATGTTCAACTTTTTTCTGAAGGTCTGTGCCATTGCAGATCCTGGCGCATTGCAAGGCAGCCCATCCCAACACCTCACCAGTCCTGCTAACACAACAGAAGGGGTTTGGGCTTTTTTTCTTTTACTTCTTTATCAAAATGTTAGCTTGGGACTTCTTGTCCCGCCTGCTGTTGGCTTTTCTTTTTGCAGTTAAGGGCATTACCATCAGCTGAACAGCAAATTAGGAACCAGGAACTCCCTCAAGTAATGCAAATAAGGGAACAGCATGTGGTAAAAAGAGACTCTGTGTGTTGGAGTATTTTGCCCCACGACCAAATCTGGCATGCAAATCCTGCCCTTTCCAAATACACATGGCAGTTGCCAAGCCTGATGGCTGTTGCCACTGTCCCTTTTTTCTATCATGCAAAGATGCCTTGCAGTCAACCTGGGTGCATTTCCAGGTCATTTTTGCTCCAGAGCTTTGCCAAACTGCTTGTCAGGACTTGCTCCCAGCAGCTGCTGTGCTCTGGTGTGAAGAGGCAGCAAGGGCTTTATGTCACCTGCTTATTTTCCTGCCCTTCCCCAGCAGCCTGGCTCGACATAGAGGACAAAAAAGTACCTCAGTCTATGGCAAAGGGGCTCAGCACTGTACCCTCTTGTCTGGGAAGTATCGTTTATGGGGAGAAATGTTCCCCTGTGTGTCCTTCAGGTTTTATGTTTTACTCCTGCTTGACGTTTTCCATTCACTTGGTGTTAGCAGAGCACCTGGGGAAACCCTTGCTTCTCTTTTAAAACATTTTTCCTTCATTTTGCTCTGTAAGATTTAATCTCTAAATGGAAATAGGTATATAATCATTACTGAAGGTGTATGTGGAGGCTAGATTAAAATGGTGTAGTTGAAAAAGCAGAAGGTTATTTTCAACAATGATCATACATTGACATATGAACTATAGAAAAGATGGAAATATGTGTTGACAGCAAACCAAACCTTTTAAGAAAATGAAATACTACGAATAAACACTAGATGGAGCATATGTTGCACAGCTGAGTTTCTACAGTCACTTTCCCTCCCAGGAATTCTTGGACGTAACCAGCTGCCATGTGGCAAAGAAAACCAGAGCCAAGATGTACAGGAGTTTGTAAGTGTAGCTAAAGCCCAAGCACAGTTGCTCATCCTTGTTCAGCAAAGCATTTCAGCAAATGCTTCTCCTCCAGTGAGTTTAATGTGGCTTTTAGCCCACAGCTGCCTGTGCTGCTGTGAGCTAAAGGATTAGGGCATTGGAATGTGGTATTTCTGGTTAAAGCAGAAATGGTGAGCTTTGGAGTGGGAGGACAGCCTGTGCATGATCAGTTATTGTGGCTTGGCTGGGGTGGGGTGACTGAACTAACCCACTGCAGCTTCATCTGGGCACATGGACCCTAAGCAACCTTTTGGGGTTTTTGTGGGGGGGGGGGGGGGGGGGGGGGGGGGGGGGGGGAATGCAGGAGGCAGGAATATGTCCCCCTTGTCTTTCTTGGCCTTCCTGCTCCTTTCTGTACAGAAGGAGTAACGTGCAACACCTTTGCCTCTCTGCAGCTGACTAGGGTAATGTCTATCCTAGTTTGCAGGGAAAATCCCAGTGACTGGAAAATTTGCACTATTCTCTGCCTCTCTCTCAAAGGAAAAAGATTATCTGTATGAAGGGAGAAATTCAGTGAATCCTATAACAAAAATATAAGATACTGGATGATATAGGACTGGTTTTGAAAGCTGTTAGTATGAAGGGCAAGGTGGATTTTGACGAATGAGGTTATTAATTTAGCATCTTGGCTACTTTGTTGTTCTGGTGGTCAGTTTTGGGGGGGTTGTTTATTTAAAAAAGATATCTTCAGTGGAATAAGTAGAGGGGGAAATAGGTAAAATTCCTTTGGATGAGATTTTCTCTTTGTTTTTATTACAAAACATGGACTTTGTGTGCGAGTGGGAGGCATTTGAAATAATTGAAAAAACTTTCCTACGGGGAGACACCAGCCTGCCTGCAGCTCAGGGTGAACTCAGCCTCCTGCTGCTCGTGCCAGGCTGCCAAGCATCACGCAATGCACCTGCACTGGAACAGGCACGACCACAAGGTACACGAGATGGTTTTGTGTATGCACATGGAAATTTTGAGGGAGATCAGGCAAGACTTGTAGAAATAGGAAGGCTTCAGAGAAGGAGGTGATCTCACCACATCTGTGTTTCCTGTAATGTTTTTTGACTCATCCATAACCCAGCCAGTGTGGCCTGGAAATGACAGATTGCTTCTCATCTATTGATTTTGGCTGGGGCTGGTGCCTGTGACTAGCTGAGGTGGAAGGTGAGAGTTTATTTACTGAACAACCTTGGGCTAGATGGGACTTGGCTGACATATTTGTGGGAGGAGGTCAGAACCTCCCCCGTGGCCTCGTGAGCTGTCTGGGGCTTGGGGTCTGCCACAGGTACTGGAGACACAGCCTGTGTTTGGTACTCTCTGTCCAGCTTGTCTCCCCCTGCTCCCAAAGGAAGGAGGGATCAGACAAAATTAGTCTTGATGAGAGATGTGGTAGAGTCATATGTGCTGCTGCTGGATTATTGCTGTCAGATACCATCACTACAGGGAAAGCCTGCTCAGAAGCATGAGAGATGCTGGGGATAGTCCTTCAGCTTCTGCTCATTGCCTTTCATCCTACTCAGCTTCTCTAAAAAGTTATTTACGCACTGAGAGAAGTTGAAAGTGTGTTTTTTCTGCCTTGCAGTTTGTTTCTGAATGCCTAGGTGCACAGCTCTAGTTTGAAGACCTCACTAGAAAACCATTTAAATGGATTTCCCAGTGAAACCCATTCACTATGGGCATCTTTAAATGCCTAAAAGCTACTGAAAATCTTGCTCTTGGTTTTCAAAAGAAGCCTATAGATGCTAAATGTTGGAAAGGTCCTCCAGAGCTTCTGGACAGGAAAAGGAGATGTTTTCCCAGTGGTGACAGAGTTTTCTCCTCCTCTCTCTCAAGGAGAATGAGGAGGAGAAAAACCTGTTTTGAAGATGCAGCCAAAGTGTAAGACTTCTCACCCCCTTCACCCAAAGCCCAGCAATTTAGGCATCACCCTCCAAACCCATTCATGTAATGCGATCTGACATGCTTTCCAAGGTGACTGTTAGTGGAGCAATAATTTGGCTTTGGATTGGGATTTTCCAGGGTTTTTGTCAGAAAGCAGCAGGAATGTGTCTGTGTGTTTGTAGCAGGTTAATTAGTGCATGAGAGCACCTTTAGAGAAGCCAAGGGCATGGAGAAAACAAAGTTTTACTGTAACTTTGGATGTTGGAAGGAAGATGGAGGAGAGGAGCCACTGAACCTTCCCACAATGTGACATGTCATTTTGCACCAATCATTCAGATTAGGCCACAACAAACATTTTGCTTTACCTAGGGTGGGACAAGACACTTGAGGGTGAAGGAACATTATCCTAAACCACAGTGTTCAGTTGCTTGTGTGTGAAGGCATCTGGTTGGCTCTATGGATGAGAGAGAATCCCTAAAAAAATACATTTTTACAGGCAAAGCTTCAGTGAGAACATTTCTCAATAATCTCTTTGGTAGAGCTGTTCTCCTGAGAAAACTATAAAGGACCTTCCTCTGGCTACTTGAGTTTGTCAGCAGAAACAGGAGACAAAACAAAATGTACCAGCAGTCATAATTCTTAAATTGGTGTGAAGTAGTTTGGCTGTTTAAGCCTAATTATGTAAAGAATGTATGGAAAGAGTGATGCCCATCCACTTGGGACTTGAAATCATAGGTGGTCTTGCAAAGAGTGGAAACTAGACCTTGATTTATTGGTTCTTACAGGAAAGTCATCACTCTGCAACCAACGCTGGGTTGTCTGAGAACTTAAAAGATACTACCCCAGGGACTACCCCCATGGGCTTAACTTACCAGCCCTTGCTTTTGAATTGCTGTATTTCCCAAACAGGGATAAGGCATGAGTAGATCTCAGTGACCTGAAGTCTTTTCCCTGTGGTCCCTTCCACAGGGGCTGCCTGAAGCTGCAGGGACCAGTTCCCCACTGCACTGGGGGGATGGCCTTGCTAGTGCTCTAGTTTCAACATGGAAAATGAGTGCTGCAAAATAAAAATCCTAGTGACTCTGGATATTTTGTTCACAGAAGAGTGCTACTAAAAAAAAATCGACGACGAAAAGCTAAATTCTCCAGCATGTTTTTGTCTTGAGATCAGAAGTAGTTAGGGTGACTTTTGGGGTGACCTTGATAACAGATCCTATTACCAAGTATCTACAATGGTGTGTCCAATCCCACAGGAGCACTATACACCTCACTGAAGTGTATGTAATACAGACATGCAAGAGCAGTGTAATGCAATGGAAA